CACCTGCCACTAGTCTACATTGTTGATGTGGTGCATGTCATTTGTCTTGACTGTCGATGTGGCATTGTCCACACTGTCTACATGAGGTGATTGGTTGTGAGAAGGAGGAAGATCGGGATTTGTGGAAGATTGGGATCGGGTACTCACCTGAGGTTGACGTCGTCATTATAATTTGTTGTGTCTTCATGGTCTTCATAAGATAAGAGTGTCACGTGGTAGTACTGTGTGATCAGAATTATTATACTTGTTATCAGATTCTGATTGTTCACGTGGAAAGGGAAGAAGTCCGGAGAAGGAGTGGGTTATTTTTTCGGATTACTCTTGTGTGATCTTTGGTCATCTCTTCAACCTTCTCCTCTGTCTGATCCCCCTTCACTCTCCTCGTCTAATGGTAATGAGATACCGTTTGGGATATCACTTCACGTTTATTAAAGACTTTGCTGCAGATATTAACTCTACTGGTATTCGACGATTGGTGAGTATCTGCCAGACTGGGTTCATTACAGACCTTTGACAAACAAGTAAAGATTACAATGGGTCTTCTCGGTCGTAACGGAGAAGAGTATCGGAATGCATACTTTGGTGTGGTCCTTACATATGCACATTCGATGGACAAGGGACCGGACTCAAGCCTCCAAGAATGAAAAAGGGGCCCATGCCATAAGATCTTGGTTTTTCACTGCCCCTCGAACAAGCTTGAAAAAAAAAAAAAAAAAAAAAAAAAGGCCCCCAGTGCCCAAGGCTGATATTACCAATAACAAAATTGAGGTTGGGGTTCTTACAGTCTAACCGGAGTGACCAAACCGAACTTGCTGAGAACCGTATCGAGCAATCAAGCGACGTGGAGAAAGCGATCTGTCTCTCAGGCTCAACGGGTACAGTCTGGCAATAAATCTGGATCTCTGCAATCCACAACAACAAGTTTTCATCCTTCTTGTCGTTGTAGGTAAATGACAATTTCATTTTCACCTTTTCTTTTCTCTTCGGCTTTTCTGCCTCCTTGGCCGGTTCTTCCTTCTTGGCGGGTTCTTCTCTCTTCTCGGCCGGTCTCTCGGTTCTTTCTTAGAACTTTGGGATTTCTTCGGCGTGACTCTCTTCATTGCATCCTTCATTAATTTCTTTGGGGTTCTGTCTTCACTACCTCCCCCCTAGTCTCCTCCTCAAATTCTACCTTGTCTTTTCCTTTTAAGAGTTTGGTCATTGTCTCTAATGAGGCTGTATTGCGGTCAATCTTCTTCTCAAGAGAAACAAGGTAGATCATGATAGACTGAAGGATGGATGCAAGCTCATTGCTTGCTTCTTCATAGTGAAACCTTTGCCTTAATTCATCCATGATTCTTTCTTTTTCTTCTTCCACTTTTTGTTGTCTCAGGAATTCCTCAATCTTTCTTCTTTCTTCTTTCAGTGTGTTTTCTAGTTGCCTGACATTCTCCTTCATGACCTTCACAGACAGTTGTGAGTCTACTTTCTTTGCTCTTTCCTCTTATCTTTCCTTTCTTTCTTGTTCCATCTTGTTCAGATTCCTGACGACGTACCGATCAAAGGGCAATTCGCCCTTGCTTTATGAGGTTTTCGACCCTCTTACCGGTCTCCATCATTTGAACGGTTGTCTCTGCGGCTTTCAATTCATCTTCTGCAGCACGCAAATTGAATTGGCCATGAATCCATTGTGCAATTTCTGAACTGGCGCATGTACCTCACTGAGAAACTGGTGGAGACAGTCGATCAAAGTCTGCCTTCTCGTTTCAATTTGACCATGGGTCTTTCATTCCCCCCCCTTCTTCATCAGCATAGACAGTGAGAGGTATGGGAAAGAAAAAGAGAGGTATGAATCAAGTGAGAATAAAGGCATGCAGGCATTTCCAAAGATAAGTCATTTTTCCCAACGTGTAGAAGCCGCACAATAAATAAAATCAAAGACAAAAATAAATTCCACAGCACATGCGACTCTTATAGCAAGAAATAATCAAGGCAGACAAAAAAGAAACAGGTTCTCAATTGATTTCCTAATCTAACTTTGCGGTTTGTTTTCTGTGTGATGACGTCCTAGAGCAATGTACAGGTACCGCAGCCACGGCCAGTGTGATCAAGACAACAACACACTTGTGAGTATACACAGCAACCACAAAACAACCAACAAGTAAGTATGTCAGCCAACACAAGAGCACAATCAATGGTTACCTCTATGGTTGTACCATCTGCAGAAGCAATTTAACCAAATACAAGGGTCAACACTCGACACTACAACAAATCGTGAAGTCGTATCGTCTGTCGACACAAATGCACACTCAACAGTTTTTCCACAGCAGCATGTTATGCATGCCACGTGTCACCCTTGGCATGCCAACGCAGCAGCTCTGTGGAGTCTGCCACGTCAGCGTCAAGGACCAAAAGGTCCACGAGGGGGGGATGCCACGTCATCAATGCATGTCTGCAACACACAACACTGCCATGCCACATCAGCTCAGCGCATCAACAGTAGGTACTCGCAACACAAGTATGTGTCACGTCAGACCATGTCCTGCTTGAATGCTACATCAGCATTCCACGTCATACCACATAGGCAGTGTGCCACATCAGCGGTCCTGCTTTCACACTTCTTTCTCTCTGGACCAGCGCCATGTCAGCCTGTTGCTAACGAAGCTCTCGCTGGTATCTTGAAGTCTTCAGTGTAGCCACGTCATCGTCTTCAAGGGTGGTTACTCGCATGTGTTGTACTACGTGTCTAGACTTGCGGTATCAACCGCGCACGTGTTTCGTCCTGCACATGCGGCACCTCCCACTTACCTGGGTGCCACATCAGCACTTGACAGCAGATTGCGATGAAGGAGTATGCTCCGATACCAAATTGTAATGAACCAAGTCTGGCAGATACTCATCAGACGTCAAGCACAAGTAGTCTCAGATCTGCACAAAAGTCTCCAGTTAATGTGAGTGATATCTGAAACAATATCTCGTTAGCTTTAGACGAAGAGAGTGGAGGGGGAATAGACAGAGGAGGTGGAAGAGATGAACAATGATCACCCAAGAGTAATCCAATCAAACCCCACTTCTTCTTCGGGCTTCCTCTCTCCTCCACGTCATCAACCAGTACACGATAACAAGTATGACAAGTCCTGATCACACGAAAGTGTCACGTGGCACTCTTATCTCGTGAAGACCATGAAGACAACAGCAGATTACGGTAACGGCGTCAACCTCAGGTGAGTACCAGATCCCAATCATCCACAGATCCCGATCTCCCTCCTTGTCGCAACCAGTCACCTCATGTAAACAGCGTGGCCAATGCCACGTCGTCAGATGTAGAGACAGGTGGCATGCACCACATCATCAATGAGGACAAGTGACAGCGCCACATCAGCCACACAATGTAGGCAGGTGGCAGCACCACATCAGCAATGTAGACCAGTGGCATGTGCCACATCAGCAATGCAGACAAGTGGCATGCGCCACATCAGCAGGAAAGACAGGTGGCAGCGCCACATCAGCAATGCCTGGCACAGAAAGCAGAAAGCGCCAGCATGCTACCACAGTCCCATGTCGTCGTCCACAATGCCTGCGCACAGCCAACGTCAAGGCAGCGTCTCGCCAGCGTCCAGTCACAGTCAGCCAGCGTCCAAGCAGCATAGCAAGACCGAAGGTTGACCACCTCGAGACCAGTCCTTTTGTAGTGTTTGACGAGGCTGCCTGGCCTCGGGTCCCCTCCCCCCAGTCGTACAGATTGACTCACAGCCCAGGGCCTGGATAGTGTACAGTTGTGGATTTCCCCTTGGTCCTGATGCTGTCTGGGTACCTGCATACAAACAAGTGTGTGCATCTGACGGGTAGCCTGGACTGGGTCCGCTTTGGACTTTGACTGTTGGGTCCTGACAGTTGACTTTTGTCAAGTGTACCTCGTTCAGGCCCTGAATCTTTAGCTGGGGTCTTTTTCCCCTTTTCGGCCTGGAACTGGGTGTGACCTGGTGAGGCCCTCAGTTTTTCCACAAAGCATACCACATGGGTTATTGCACTATCCTGTCAGGACAACCATTGGCTGCCGCTGCCAGCAAGCACCGCGGGTCTGGTCCTTGGCCTCTACACCACCCTGGGCTTTTTATATTAAATATATATATATACGTATATATATAAGATGCGCTGCGGTCAAAGAGAAAAGAAAAAGGGAAAAAAAAGAAGTACGCACTGTGGTCCAATATACAATTAAGCCTGGCGCCACGCGAGGAAGTGAGCGAGCAAATCAAGATGTACTAAGAAAGAAAAACGAAAACGACTGCAAACCGGCTGGCCTAGCGTAGTAGGTACACACCCATGAACTGATGAAATGCAGAGTCGTTGCAGACCTCCAAATCCCGATGCACTCAGATGAACAGAATAATTCTGAATTACCCGGGCCGGTCAGTTCAATGAGGATATCTCAAGGCCGTCGTCCTTTAAAAGAAAGGAAAAAAGGAAAGAAGAGGTGGGGGGGAGGGGCGAAGATTGCAGTGTGATTAATCCCGCAAAGCGTGTGGTTAATCTTCTTCCAGGCTGACAAGCCGATCGTCTACCTTCCCTAAAATACCCCTGGGCCTTAGTATGACAGCGAGCTTGGCACATTGGTAGCATATATACACCAAAGATGGCCTGTGAATGAAGTACATAGGCAGCAAATATGCACGAATGCATAAACACGTCGATGAAACAGGAGCACAGGTGGCCTACGGATGGATGGATGGGTAGATGGTAGAAGAGCAGATTATGAATGTGTGCGCAAAACTGCAAATGCAACGTTTCATTATCGAATGCGCACGTGGTCTTGGACCCACCTCCCCTTTGCTCTCTCTCTCTCTCTCTCTCTCTCTCTCTCTCTCTCTCTCTCTCTCTCTCTCTCTCTCTCTCTCTCTCTCTCTCTCACACACACACACACACACACACACACACACACACACACACACACACGCACGCACGCACACACACACAGCTATGACGCGACGGTCTAATCTCGAACAGCGTAGAAAGCTCACCTCGCAGGAGAGGAAACGCGCCGTCCAACAGCTCCATCTCGAGTCCTTCAAGAGACTGCACGGCTGCTGGGATATCCAAAAGGTGCAAAATGACGGGCTGATCTGGTCCCAATAAATGGCCCCTAGCAATCAGGGGTACGAGGGAGTACCCTATTTGGCCTGCTCTCATGCACAAGAAGCACAAAAAAAACAGAAACGAAAACCAAAATTTAATGGGTTCGTCAACTTTTATTATTAGATATTTACTAGTAATCTGTGCTTTTAATTTTAGTATACTAGTAATAAACGAACTCCTCCCCCCCCTCAATCCCAACACACACACACAATGCCAACGCACACACACACACACACACACTCATTTACAGTAACACTTTCTTCCATGAATGATACTGTCTGTCGCACTTTGTCCCATTCGTGGTTAAAAGAAACGAAAAGGGAGACATTCGAGGTTGATGCGCGGGCCATTCTCAGACGAAGAATCATTAACGTGTCATGTAGAAGCAACCTGATTGAGTTGAAGGTCACTCTCAGTCAATTTACGTAGCAGTCCGGATACCCTCGGGCTTCTCTTCAATAGTTACTTCGTTGGCTACTTCTCCATCCTGTTTGTTTTCCCCTCATTTTCATTCCCCACAAAATGCGACGGAAACAATAAACAATGCAGATTTTTAAAGCCCCCTGTGAGCTAATGGAGGCCTCCTGTTGTTCGTCTTGATAATGGAAGCCCTGTGAGCTGATGGAAAAGGGCCCAGCGTCTTCTAGAAAGGGAGGCAAAATGAGGCGGCAAACAAACTGCCAGACTCTGCTCATCGGGGTCTGTACATCGTCAGCACCACGACTGCAACAACCTCATGATAATGCCCGAGCGCGCGAGAATAGGTTAGCTCAATCAATCATTCGCACCACACCGTTTCACAAACAACCTTACATGCATTGCAAGTGCGCAAGCTTCTACACAGACTCTCTCTTTCCATGATCCTCCTGCCTGCAGGAAGAAAGACTGAATGACAACTCTCTCTCTGCGTAATCTTCCTGCAGGAAGAGAGAATGAATGACAAGCCATACCCGCAAATAAATCAGCTGACAAAGCCTGCGCGCTTCTGTAACAGCCGTTGTTGAAATCACTGCCAGTGGGTCCATGTTATCAATAACAACCACTCAGCCAATCGACAGTCCACTGCCTAACTTTTGTCAAGTGTTTCTTTCTTTCTATCTTTCCTTTTTTCGTTCTTTTTTTCTTTCTTTTTTTCTTTCTTTCTTTCTTTCTTTCTTTCTTTCTTTCTTTTCTAACTCAAGAGTGTCTTAGCAGGTCACTAGGCTTTTTTTTTTTGCTTTTGTTTTTGCTTTTGTTTTTTTTTTTGAGCCCAGGGTGTTGTAGATGCCAAGGCCCAGACACACACAGTGATTGCTGGATTCACCATTGTGAAACAATACAAAAGGACAAAGAAAAGGAGACGTGGCTGGCAGGTAGCTGTACGATACAAGCCGCTAGACGAGGTCAAGGACTGAAGTGCTGGACCTCCCAAGTTCGATGAATGCAGATGGAGTCCAAGCATATACCCATTGGCGGGAACTCCGAAGTGTATTTATAAGGGCAAAGGAACTTAAAAGAAAAGGGGGAGGGGGGGGGGAGAAATGGGGGGGGGAAAGGGGCCTAGCTCTGTTGGTACACCCATGAATTTTTTACCTTTTTTTATAACGAAAGCTCTGATCTATTCGTGGGTACACACATGAACTGTGTAAGTACAGACCCAAGTTCGAACCCAGATGCAATCAGATGAACCAAGTAAATTAATTTTGAATTACCTGGGAACTCGATGATGATATCTCAAAGCCAACACCCAAAGAAGGAGAAAAAAGAAAAACAAAAAGCTGACGGAAAAAAAAAAAAGGACTGCAAGAAGAAAGCCAACAAAACAAAACCACGGAAAAGAGAAACGGGGTTAAGGATATATGAGGCCTCGCCACACCACTGATGAAACGGAAAAAGTACGAGTGCATCTTCCACATGAAGTGGGCAAGATCCATCCGTTACTACTCACAGTAACGGATGCATCTTACTACTCTTTGCGGGAACATGCAGTCGTGCTTTTTTTCATTTCGACAGTGGCGTTGCGAGGCCCATAGCCAGATTAGAGCTCGTTTCAAATTTCAAACAGGCAGTTAATCCTCTGGATTTTGAACAGAGCAGCCCATGCTGTCCTGTCTTCCATAAAAACTCTTCATCAGTGGTAATTCAGGGCATACTCACACTAGGAAAAAAAAAAAAAAAAAAAAAAAAAAAAAAAAAAAAAAAAAAAAAAAAAAAAAAAAAAAAAAAAAAA